ATTTTTTGAAGCTAGCATTACCCTGATAACTAAACCAAAGACAGTACAAGGAGACTACAGATAAACATTCCTCATAACCATAGATACTAATTATTAAGCATAATATTATTTAATTGAATCCATCATGTATAAAAAGAATAACACATTGTGACCAAGAGGTCATTATCCTGGGAATGCAGGGTTGCTTAAACATTTGAAAATAAATCAGTGTAAATAACAGATTAAAGAACAGACTAAAGAAGAAACACCATATATTTATCCTAATAGATGCATAAAAAGCAAATGACAAAGTTAGCATTTATTTATGATAACAATTCTCAGCAAGGAAGGAATAAAAGACAACATTTTTAACCTGATAGTATCTACAAAAAAATTTACAGCTAATATCATAACTAATGGTGACCCTACTTTCCTTCTAAGATTGGGACCAAGGCAAGGTTGTCTAAGCTCACCATTTTTATTCAATATCATACTGGAGGTTTTATCAGTGCAATAGAAAAAGAAATAAAAGCATATAGATTGGAAAGGAAGAAATATAACTGTCTTCATTCACAGATGACATGATTGTCTATGGAAAAAAATCCCCCAAAATAGACAAAAAAGTAACTAGAACAAAGAAGTCAATTTAGCAGAGTTGCAGTATACAAGGTTAGTATACAAAAATCTATTTTATTCCTATATACTAGCAATGAATGATGGGAAGTTGAAAAAAAGTGCAGTTTATAATAGCACAAAAAACAAATATTTAGATATAAATCTAATAAGATGTGGACAAATGCAAAACACTAATAAATCAAAGAAACATATAAATGGTGAGTGATCACATTCATGGTTTGGAATACTTAATATTGTTAAGACATCTGTTCTCCTCAGATGGAACTATATCCAAGGCAATTCCAATCAGAATCCCAGGAGACTCTCTTGCTGAAGTTGACAACTTGAGTCTCAAATTTATATGGAAATAAAGAGGGTCTAGGATAGTGAAAACAGTTTTGAAAAAAGATTAAAGTCAGAGGACATACGTTACCTGATTTCAAGACTTTTTATAAAGCTACAGTAATCAAGACATTGTGGTTTTGGTGTACAGATAGATGTGTAGATCCATGGAACAGAATAGAGAGTTTATAAATAGACATAAACTGATATGATAACTTGATTTTCAATAAAGGTGCTGAGGCAATTCAGTGAGGAATGGATAATCTTTTCAGCAACTATTCTCTAACAATGAGACAATCTTTTGCAAAGAAATGAAACTTTATATCTACATATCTACAAATTAAAATGGATCATACACCTAAATACAAAATCTAAAACTATGAAACTTCTAGAAGGAAAATATAGGAGAAAACCTTCATAATCTTAAGTTAGGCAAAGATTTCTTAAATAGGACATAGAAAAATCACTATAAAACTATAAAAGAAAAGGTTAAATGGTACTTCATAAAAATTAAAACAAGTGTTTAAAAACAGTTAAGAAAAGACAATTTTCAAACTTCAGAGAAAACATAAAACATATCTGACAAAGAATTTGTATCTAAACTATATAAAGAACTCTTACAATCCATTAGAAAGACCAGAGAAAAATCCCTAATTTTAAAATGGGCAAAGGATTTGACTAGAGACTTCACGAAGAAAAAGATACCACTGAAAAATAACGTGAAAAGTGCTCAACATCTTTAGTCACTAGGAAAATGCCAAAAAAGTCACCAATACAAAACAAACCCCACAATGAGATATCACTACACAGCCAGTGAAAAAGACTGACCACACTAACTCTTGGTGTTGATATGGATCTACTGGAATTCTATCTCATACACTGTTGATGGAAATGTAAAATGGTACATTTACATTTGGAAAGCAGTCTGTCATATTCTAAAAGAGTTAAACATGCACTAACATACAATCTAACTATTCTCCTGCATATTTACCCAAGAGAAACAAAACATATATCCCCTGAAGACTTATCTATAAATAAATATTCCTACCAGTTTTGTTTATAATATCCAAAAGCTGGAAACAACTCATACGTGTACCATATGGTGAACGGACACACCAGATTTGCTCTATCTATGCAGTAGAGTACTTCATAGAAACAAATGGAATGAATTATTGATACAATATTAATAAATCAATGCTGAGTGAAAGTGGTAGACAAAAAAAGTGGAACCTGTATAATTCCATTTATTTTTTTTTTAAAGATCTTATTTGTTTGTTTGAGAGAGAGTGTGAGCCGGTGGAGGAACAGAGGGATAGGGACAAGCAGACCCCTCACTGAGCATGGAACCCCACACAGGGTTCCATCCCACGACCCTGAGATCACAACCTGAGCAGAAACCAAGAGTCCCACGCTCAACCGACTCCACCACCCAGGCACCCCTGTGTAATTCCATTTATATAATTTCTAGAAAATGCATACTTAACTACTTGAAAAGTGAATCAGTGGTTGCCTAGGGATGGGTGTTGGGAGAGAAAGGGATGGAGAGAGGGAAGAATTAAAAAGGAAATAAGGAAACTTTGGGAAGTGATAGAGATGTTCAATAACTTGATTATAGTGAGGTTTTACAGTATATACTGTGGCCAAAACCAATCAACTTGTATACTTTAAATATGTGCAGTTTGGGGCATCTGGGTGATTCAGTTGGTTGAGCGGCAGACTCTTAGTTTTGGCTCAGGTCATGCTTTCAGGGTCATGAGATTGAGCTCTATGCTCAGTGGGGAGCCTCCTTGAGATTCTGTCTCTCCCTCTGCCCCTCCTCCTGCCTGCATGCCCTTTTCTCTCTCTCTCTAAAACAAATAAATATTTAATAAATAAATAAATATGTGCAGTTTACTGTGCATCAGTTATATCAGAATAAAGTTATAAAAAAAAGAATGATGCAGTAATGAATTGCTTTCTGATATTGGATTATACTTTTTAGAATAGTATTTTTATAAAAAGATAACCCTTTTCAAATGCCTAACATGTCACAATTCCATGTATGGTTATTTTCAAATCCCTTTTTCTTTTTCTTTTTTTTTTTTTTGACTCTCATTTTTTTTTTCTATCTAAAAAAGCTTATTGAAAACTAGATGAACATTCTCTCTTGAGCTATTTTGAATGACTATTGATGTTTAGATTTTGGGTTGAAACTTGAAGGATAATCAATTCAATTACTTGCTTTCTTTCCTTTCTTCTGCCATATCCTATTGTGTGATCTGAAGCAGCAAATTGTTTTCACATTTAGAACTATTTTTAAATAATTTGGCTTAAAGTTTCCATGGAGTACAATGACAATAGAACTTGGTCATAGACCACTTTCCTAATCAGAAACCTTTACTTAAATAACATTTAAATTCAGTCTTCAGTGTAAAGCATATCAGTGCTTTGAAAATCTTGTTAAACTCTGAAATTGAATGACCTATATAATGATGTGCTATACTTCCAACTTATTAATTGAAAAGTAGCTGACTTTTATCCCCAGAAATGTTAGGTTTATAACAACAGATAAGTTGGCTAATACATAAAAGATGTTTAATACAAAAAAGAATACCCTTTAATAAAAAAAGACGAAAAGTGGTCATTTAGTTGAAGATTTTTTCAAACTACTTTCTTGTTCTTTATTATTTGTAGTCTTATATAGATATTTTTAAGTTTCATTGTTGTTGGTTTTTATTTCAGCTCATTCATACCCTATGCCTTCGCTAATTTTTATACTATTGCAAATTAGTTTGGGCCTTTACAGCAACATTAGTTGTCTTCTACAAAGTGAATATATCAAGCAATAATGATTTTTAATTTTTATTATTTTAATTGAGAAGTAAAATAAGAACAATAAATTATCTTCAACTATATCTGTTTCAAGCATTAGAAGAGATTTTGAAGAATATGGGTGTTGCTGCTGTTGAACTGTTGTTTAAACATTATTTCTCACACTGTGCCTAATGGATTTAATTATGGTTCACACACTTGTTTCTTTATCATCTCTTCAGATGGAGAGCTATATAGATACATTGTAAACTACTACAAGAACATGTTATTAGGCTGTCTCTGCTGATGAAGGAATTTTCAAATTAAGTTGTAAAAGTCCCTTGCAAATGAATTCCATTAAGCATTGGCTTTCTCTTGTAGTTCACTAATCATAGTTACCCACCTACATCAAGTACAAAAGCAAGACAACATATCCAAATAAAAAGACCTTATTGTGAGTGGACCCAAAGGTTGGCAACGGTGATTAGTCTAAAATCCATTTAACATGGAAAAGAGCCCATCAAAAATATTTCTTTAACTCTTGTAGTCCATAGTTGCCCTAGGAAGCTCATACTTTAATTGAGGACACTAAATTATCACAAATAAAATTTAAAACTAATAAGAGCCAAACTCTGACTTTAAGTACATTAGTAGTTTTAGGGAACTGGATTGGAGAAAGATCTGCAATCAGGTTTGAAGAATAGGTGGTTTAATATGAGGAAATAATATGAGCAAGGATGGGGTATAAGTGGGCTGACTGTGGTTTACAAGAGAGAGCTTTAGAAAAACTAGCCTATTTAGAGATGTAGTTTCCTATTTGGAAGTAATGGGTAATAGGCTGGAAAACTAATCAGATTACAGCGGGCCTTAAATGACATGAAGTGCAGATTGACCTTGGCACAATGGGCAGTCATAAGATTTTTTAAGAATTATTTTTTATTTGTAATACGTGGCTTCCAGACAAAATGTAAAAGGTATAAAAAGGCATTACATGAAAAATAATTGTCCTTTTTAATAAAGCTTAACAATCTGACTGAAATATCTATATGAAGAACAAAGATGCAAGAATAGCTGAGAAAGTCCTGTTTAAGAAAATAAGAAGGAAGAAGAGGAGGAGGAGGAGGAAAGCAACTTGCGTTACCAGATATCAAAACTTACTATGAATTTATAGTAATTAAGACAGTTTGTTGTTAACACAAGAATAGAAAATAAGAGAGCCCAGAAACAGTCTGTACATATTTGAACACTTGACTTATGACAAAATGGTATTGCAGATGGGGGAAACAGTGCTGGGACAACTGGTTATCTATATGGAAAAGAATGGATCCCTTCCTCATGCCATATAAAATCAACTTTAAAAGGTAAAATTATTTTTTTAAATTTTATTTTATTATGTTAGTCACCATACAATACATCATTAGTTTTTGGTGCAGTGATCCACGATTCATTGTTTTCATATAACACCCAGTAAAGGTAAAATTATAAACTTTTGAAGAAAATATGGGACCTTTGTGACCTTAGGGGGAAGAATCTCTTATACAAACAACCCTAATCATAAAAGAGAAGATTGATAAATTTGGCTGCATTAAAATTAAGAATGTCTCTTCAGTAGAAGACATATAGAAAATGAGATAAACCATAAACTGAGAGAACATATTGCAGCACCTATAATTAGTTATTTGGAATAATGCAAGAACAACTTACAAATAAATAAGGAAAAAAAGGGTGACCTAATTGAAAATTGGGCAATACAAACAAAACAGGTATTTCACAGGAGAGAAAATATGAATGTCCAATAAACAAAAGAAGCTCAATCCCAGTAGTAATCAAGAAAATACAAATCAAAACCAATGAGATGCCATTGTGTATGCACTGGGTTGTAAAAATTAAGTCTTACAAAAAGTGTTGAAAGGCATGTGTCTTAGACATTGCTGGTAAAGTGGTAAACAACCACTCTGGAGAACACGTTGTTATAATATTACAGTCACATAACTTACTACTCTGCTCTGGGTGTTTCCTAGTATTTCTTGCACATGTGCACCAGAAGACACATATGAGAATGTTCATAGCAGTGCTATTCAGAGTAGCAAAAATCTGCAAATAACCCAAATGTCCAGAAACAAAAGAGTGGATAAATTCCTTGTAGTATAGTCACACAGTAGAATATGCAGGAGTGATAATGAACTGCAGCTCTTTATAAAAATGGATAATCTTAGAAACATAATGTGTGAAAATGGCAAGTTACGGAAGACTATAGTATACCGTTTTATAAAGTTCAAAAAACCTCAAGTAATATATGATAATAGTCATATATACATGTGATTAAATTTTCCTAAAAACCTGTGGGTAACTGTTACTTCTAGGGTGTCAGTGGGGGATGAGGCAGGAAAGGAGCACAAAGATAGCTACAGTTTTGGTAAACTAGTTGTTTTTGTTTTTTTAAGTTGGGAGGGTGAGTGGATGAGAGCGGTCATAGATATTTTTTTAATTCTTAGCTCACTTGTACTTTTTTTTTTTTTAGAGAGAGAGAGAGAGAAAAGGGGAGAGTGAGAGAATCTCAAGCAGGCTCCATGCCCAGTATGGAGCCCGGCACAGGGCTTGATCTCATGACCCTGAGATCATGACCTGAGCTGAAATCAAGCATCAGACGCTTAACCAACTGAGCCACCCATGTGCCCCACTTGTACAAATTCTTTGTATGAAATATAACCTTAAAAATTATAATTTGGAGAAAAAAATATATTTTCTCCTTCTACTCACTCAACCACCCATTTTCCTTCCACAGAGACTTAAATAAATTGTAGAGCAGCCATACAATAGAGTACAATGCAGCTATTATAAAAGAACAAAGCAACACTATATATTCTGAATGGGATGACGACTGGATTATATTGTTAAAAGAAGTGTTAAAAGAAATCTCTAAAAAATATGAAGTTCTTCCTGATTTACCCTACATAAACCACTTTTTGACCTATCATCCTGAGAAGGATTTAATTGATAAGTCTTCTATGAGATTATAAAAATGTTGGTCTACTAATGTGCCCTATGTAGCAATGCCAAAAATACCCTCCTAACTGGGTATTCTAAGAGAAAATATTTTTAAGGCAGAAAGTAGATTTCACAGGATTTATTCTTTAGATACCTGTAATTAAATTTAGTTAAAACATTATAAACCTTTTCTCCTACCCAGTTACATTATGATATGAATTTTTTCATATGCGTTATATCTGCAGTTATGAATTGTTGATTTTTCTGAAATTGTCCCATCAATTATTGACATGCCCATATTTTTACTTGGTTTTAGTAAAATCTGCCGGCAACTTAAAATTAAATTGTCCCATCCCTTCTCTTCTTTCCTCAGTCCCTCCCCCCCATCCCTTCTTTCTTCTGTACTTCTTGCCCTCATTACTCTCCTTGCAGTTGCCCTTTTTGCCAAAATGAAGCCCAGGGCTAGTTGTGTGCAGACAATATTGTTTGTAGTGTTATGTGTGTGGCTCTGCTGTCCTATTTTCCTGCACCTCAGATGGAGTTGTCCCTCTTGCCAGTATGAACTAATTACTTCTTGAAGTCCCTGAGTCTTTGAACATCTGTTGTCCTTTACGTCATCTAAGGGACTCAGAAAAGATCCACTTGAAGTTTTTTTCTCTAATACCACAGGGATTTTCTAAAATTTGTGTTATTTCCTGTGGCCCAGAGATTGTTTCATTTTCCTACAAGAGGAGGAAAAAAAGGGATCTAAATGCTTCCTGTGATTGCATAAAGTTTATTTTAGGAACTAAAATTTGGGCTTTTTTCCCCCCCTATTACATCCTATTTTCCTTGCTCAAGATTTATAGGGAATGTTAGGTCATGTTTGCGCCTTTGTAGCAAAGAAGTGTTTTCTTCTACCGACTAGAAAATTTTAAAGTAAATATTCTGTGACCCTTTAGTTCAGATTCCAGGCTCAATGTGTTTTTGGAAGAGGAAAAAACATGGCTCTGAACCTAGGTCCTTACTCTTTAATTAGCGTTCAGACTGTTGCTTGGAACACTTAACATTATTTAGTCTCCCTCCACACTAACCAATTTTTATACCTCGTGTGCGTAAAATCACTAACAAGGAAAAATATCAAAACATTTCATTAGTTTATGTCTTTTGTGATGAGGAGAGAAAAGTTTTTACTGTCTTGAATTAGCGACTAATTGTTTTCTGTTGAATCACGGAGATTTCTATCCTTTCTGAGGAGGAATTTTTGTATAAACAAGATTTTTCTATCTGTCTAAGGCTTCCAGTTAATTACATTTTGCAAGGAATATCAAAAATGGAGATTCATTATAATCACTTCCTGTTAGTAGAGAATAAGACACAGGAGCTATTTAGTCAAGTTGCTTTTTTTATAAAATGAAGTACTGGAAAGAGAAAAATCTGTCATCTAAGCATTTCATCTGGAACCTGTATAATCCACTTTTATTTCTGAATGGTGGCTTTATTGCCATGCTCTTTAGAACACTTTAGTGTCCTGAGCTTTTAGAAACAAGTGTGGATGTGACTTGCTTGTACATTTTCTAAGAGCATATTTTCCAAATGCAGAATAGGTGCTGCCACTTCAGTTTTGGTTTCACTTCTCAATTCTGTTAATAAAAATCCCTGTTGCAAACTAATTTTCCTTGACAGTTCATAGCAACCTTAACATGTTATTATTTTCAGCAGTAATTGAAGGAGTTATCAATTCCCATGTAAATAAGAGCATTAGTTACCATCTTCAAAATTGGTTTGAGGAAGGAGGTGAGGGTTGATTTCCTGATGATATAAGAGAGCAAACTATAGGGGGAAATCTCCTTTGGTATAGTTAATTTATCTGTGCTGGAGGAAGCCTGGGTGGCTCAGTCGGTTAAGCGTTTGCCTTCGGTTCAAGTCATGATCCCAGGATCCTGGGATTGAGTGCTGCATCGGGCTCCCTGCTCAGTGAAGGAGTCTGCTTCTCCCTCTCCCTCTGCCCCTCCTCCCTGCTTGTGCTTGTTCTCTCTGTCTCAAAAATAAATAAATAAAATCTTTAAAAAAAATTATCTCTCCTGGAATGTGCCATACTAATATGATTTTTTTCCCCTCTATTATTTTCATATATTGGTAAGCCTAAGGTACGCATTTTTTTTTTTCAGGTGGAAGAAACAGGTTTGGAAAGTTTAATAAACTTACCTATGTAAGACTGTCAAAGGAAAATATACCCAGAGAAACTCAGGAATCATGATAGGCTTTTATTAGCTGAAACAGTCCACAGTATTAAGTGGATGTCAACTGATGTAAGATTCTATTCATATTACCCTACGTTATCCATCAGAATTTCTTTGCTTTACTCACTGAAAACCTCGATATGAATTTGAAGGGAAATTTTAATTCAAACGCAATTATTCCAGATAAGTTAGAATAAATATAAGTGGCATCCTTGTTGAGTTAAATATTAATGAAGAATGTCACTTTGACTCATTTCTTTTATTCACTTACTCTTTCTCTCCTCTGAAAGATTTGTTTTATTTTATGGCTTTAAAGAAATATTGCTTTCTCCCAACTCCATTGCTCTGGCTTTTAAAAAATAATGATTGAAGGAAGCACTCAAGAGAGGTTGGCATCTGGGAGGAATAAGGATTGTGCCTCTGGTTTCCCCACCATGGACGGTGGTGGGGAGGAACTGTGCAGTGCTTGAAGTGATTAAATTTCCTGGGCCATCTGGTCATCAGGAAAAGGCTGTGTTTTCAATTTCACTGTGAATGAGGAGAAGCTTATTAAGGAAGGAGAGCATTTAGTCTAAGGAAAATAGAAATCATACTTATTTCTACCACTAAGAGCTTCAGCCTCCTTAATTGTAGAAAGAAGGGTCACTTGTGGGAGACTCTGACCATCTAATAATGCTGTTGTCTGAGTTACTGGGGGGACTTGAAGGATGGTCTGGGAAGGTGAGTGAACACACAAGAGTAGTCACTTAGAATGGAGTCACTCCAGTCCCCTAAAGTCTCTCCCCAGCCCCATACAGTCTTTATGGAAGGAAGAAAATGAGCAAAAGGGGTTAAATTTTCCTCAGGCCAAGGAAAGAACTCAGAGTTCCTTGTTTCTTAAAGTTTACTGCCAGAGTCTCTGATCCAGATATCTGTTGGAAAGCCATGAATCAAGTGTAATTGATTAACATCCATCCACTCTTCTATTTATTGAACCACCTCATGCTTTAAAAGTAAAAACCAAGTTCATGTTTTATTTACCACTTTTTAAATAAAGCACTAGGTTCAAGAGAGGCTGTAGAGGGAAAATCAAGAATAGGAAAAGAAATCAATGCACAAAGCGTATATCTGCACTAAACATTGAAATTGGAAGAGAGACAGCAATGGACAATGGTATGCAAAAAAATAAGAGCTTGGATGTGAGTCTACCTGTTGCCACGTGCTGCTGCCTCTGTCACCTTTGCAGGTAATTAATACAGTTCTCTGATGCTACCTGAATCAAACCTAGAAAGCTCAAATTCTGGGATGTGATTGGGATTGTGCAATCTGAAACTTTTAAAAGGAAAATAGAACCTGCAGTTCCACAGAAAAGTGCAATTTGTTTCATTCAAGATGTAGCTAACCACTGAGTATAGGAAGAAATTTTCCTGACCTTTTAAGAGACTATTGCTCAGATGGTCTTTGGTTTTTTAAGACTGCTTGTCAAGGTGAAGATTTGTTTTGGTTTCCTTTGAAGCTGCCAGTATGAAGAGAGAGAAGTGGGGTGAGGAGTGGATTGCAAAAGCTTGAAGGCTGAGAGCTTAGTCAACTTCCAGACCATAGACACGGAGGTCAGTGTGGCTGGACTGGAGCTGAGGAGAGGTGAGCTGGAAAGGTGCAAAGGGCCATGTGAAGGTGACTTTCTCTGCAGATGATAAGGAGCCACTGGAAAATGTTAGCAGGCAGCCCTGCCTGTCTCCTGATGCCTTGGCTCACAGTCTTCTCTTTGTTCCAGTCCCCATGGTCACAGAGTGCACTGCTTCCATGTGCAGCTCTTGAGCCCCAAAGGCGTTTTCACTTTCCACATTCTCTTCCTTCAGCCCTCTGACTTTGTTCTCATTTACATCCACTCTGCATCTGAAATCTGAAACTCTCTGAACTCTGGGTGTAGTAACTTAACTGTCCTTCTTGTTCTCATGTTCCCTTACCCTCTCTAAAGTTGCTTTTCTGGACTTCCAATACCTTTATTGGACTCTTCACTCAGTCCTTCCCCTCTCTCTGGACTTACCTCCTGGATTAGTTAGGATTCTCCAGAGAAACTGAACTAATAGGGTGTGAGTATGTATAGGTAGGTAGAAAGGTGGATGTAGCTATGTCTACTTATCTATTTATTGATTCAGAGATTACTTATGTATCTATTTATTATTGAAGTTATCAATTGAAATACAGTATTAGTTTGAGATGTACAATATAGTGACACTACAAAATACCATGGTAAGTATAGTTACCATCTGTCATCATACAAAGTTATTACAGTATTATTTACTATATTCCAAGTTACACTTTATATCCCCATGACTTACTTATTTTATTAACTGGAAGTTTGTACCTCTTAATCCCCTTTACCAATTTCCCTATCCTCTATCCCCTCTGGCAATCACTAGTTCTCTGTATTTAAGAATTTGTTTCTGTTTTGTTTAGCATAATACCCTTTAGGTCCATTCATGTTGTTTCAAATGGCAAGATGTCATTCTTTTTTTATGGCCAAATAATATTTCATTGTGTATATATACTACATTTCTTTATCCATTCATCTATTGATGGATACTTCAGTTGCTTCCATATCTTGGCTATTGTAAATAATGCTGCTATGAACATAGGGGTGCATATATCTTTTTGGTTAGTGTTTTTATTTTCTTTGGTAAATACCTACAAGTGGAATTGCTGAATTGTATGGTATTTCTGTTTTTAATTTTTGAGGAACCTCATACTGTTTTCCATGGTGGGTATACCAATTTACATTCTTACCATCATTACGCAAGTGTTCCCTTTTCTTTGCATCCTTTGCCAACACTTGTTATTACTTGTGTTTTGATCCTAGCAATTGTGACAGTATGAAGTGATATCTCATTGTGGTTTTGATTAGCATTTCCCCAATGATTAGTCATATTGAGCATCTTTTCACGTGTCTGTTGACCATCTCACCGTCATCTTTGGAAAAATGTTTAGTCAGGTCCTCTGACCATTTTAATCAGATTGTTTGTTTTTTGGTGTTGAGTTGTATGGGTTCTTTATATATTTTACATATTAACCCCATCAGATACGCCATTTGCAAATATCTTCTCCCATTCAGCAGATTGCCTTTTTGTTCTGTTGATGGTCTCCTTTGCTGTGCAAAAGCTTTTTAAATTTATGTAGTTCCAATAGTTTATTTTTGCTTTTGTTTTCCTTGTATGAAGAGATGGATCCAAAAAAATATTGCTAAGACCAATGTCCCAAGAGTTTACTGCATATGTTTTCATTTACGAGTTTTATGATTTCAGGTTTTACATTTAGGTCTTTAATCCATTTTGAGTTTATTTTTGTATATCATATAAGAAAATGGTTGATTTTCATTCTTTGGCATGTAGCTATTATTTCCCCAACACCATTTATTGAAGAAAACTCTTTTTCCCATTGTATGTTCTTTCCTCCTTTGTCAGGTTAATTGACCATATGAGCATGAATTTATTTCTGGGCTGTCTGTTCTGTTCCATTGATCTATGTATCAGTTTTTATGCCAGTACCATACTGATTTGGTTACTACAGCTTTGTAGTATAATTTGAAATCTGGGAGTGTGATACCTCCGGCTTTATTCTTCTTTTTCAAAGTTGCTTTGGCTATTTGGGGTCTTTTATGGTTCCATACCAATTTTAGGATTATTTGTTCTATTCTTTGAAAAAGCTCTTGATACTTTGATATGGATTTTATTGAATCTGTAGATTGCTTTGGGTAGTATGGACATTTTAACAATATTAATTCTTCCAATCCATGAGTGTGGTATATCTTTCCATTTATTTATGTCATCTTCAATTTCTTTCATCAGTGTCTTTTAGTTTTCAGAGTACAGGTCTTTCACCTCCTGGGTTAAATTTATTTCTAGGTATTTTATTCTTTTTTTATACAATTGTAAATGGGATCATTTTCTTGATTTCTGTTTACTAGTTTATTAGTGTATAGAAACAGATTTCTGTATATAAGTTTTGTATCCTCCAACTTTACTGAATTCATTTATTCTAACTTTGTTGTTGTTGTTGTTGTTGGAGCCTTAATGGTTTTCTATATATAGTACCATGTCATCTGCAAATAGTGACAGTTTTACTTCTTCGTTACCAATTCAGATGTCCTTGCCTTCTCTTCCCTCCTCTCCCCTCCCCTCCCATTCCTTTCTTTTTCTTTATTTTCTTTCCTTGTCTGATTGCTGTGGTTATGACTTCTAGTATTATGTTGCATAAAAGTGGTGAGAGTGGATATCCTTGCCTTGTTTCTGATCTTAGAGGAAAAGCTTTCAGCTTTTCACCATTGAAGGTGAAGTTAGCTATGGGTTTGACATATATGGCCTTTACTATGTTGAGTTGTGTTCTCTCTGTACCCACATTGTTTAGAGGTTTTTTTTCTTATCATGAATGAATGTTGGATTTTGTCAAATGCTTTTTCTGCATCTCTTGAGATGATTGTATGATTTTATCCTTCATTTTTTTAATGTGGTATATCATGTTGATTGATTTTCATGGAGAGAGATATATTTTAAGGAATTGGCTCACACAGTTATGGAGGTAGGTGAATCCAAAATCTGTAGGGTAGGTTGGCAGGATGCAGACTCATGGAAGATCTGATGTTGTGATTCAAGTCAAAAGACTGTCAGGCTGGAGACCAGGAAAGAGCTGATGTGATTCAAGTCCAAAAGCTATTTGTTGCCAGGATTCCTTTCTTGCTTAGGGAGGTCAGTCTTTTCTTGTATTCATGTCTTTAATCAATTGAGAGGCCTACCCACATTATGGAGGACAGTCTGCTTTACTCAAAATTTATTTATTTATTTATTTTATATTTTTTAATGAGTTGTAAGGCAGTGATTCCTCATATCTTAACATTACAGCTCTCCTTTATTTTTTTTTTCAAATTTTTATTTAAATTCTAGTTAACATGTAGTGTAATATTGTTTTCAGGAGTAGAATTTAGTGATTCATCACTTACATTTAATACCCAGTGCTCATCCCGATCAAAATTCCAATGACATTTTTCAAAGTGCTGGAACAAACAATCCTAAAATTTGTATGGAATCAGAAAAGACCCCGAATTGCCAAGGA